TCGTGATCTAGACATGCTAGGGTGACGAAATTTGGATGGAAGGTAGCTCTTGTGCTGGGGAACAAGTGACGTGAGTTTGGGCCCCCTAGCGGCTTGCTCTGGAACTGCAGGGACATTAGTTGAAAAATGTTTAAAGGCGGATAACTCAAGAACCGACTGATGGATCGTCGTGATTTTTAGCATGTAGGTAGCTGAAGCGATGCTTGACATAATGATATTACAATTATGCGAATATTAAGGTAATTTGCATAAATAATGAGGAAATTCTATAAATCAGCTGCATTCCATGATAGGACGATTCAAGCTTGTGACATGTAATTCAGAACGGCAGAAATACAGGCAGATATTGATTATGCAAATGAAGACTTAATTTGCATAATTAACAGGAAAATGTTATAATTACATAGTGGTAATGTCTGGAATTTCATACTTGGGATATTTGAAACTTATGTGAAGGTGAACATAATTAAACATAACTTATTCAAATAAGGAACTCATTTGCATAATTTATGAGAACATGCTATAATGGCATGCATTGATAAGATAAGACTTCTTGTGTAGCCTATGATCAACAGATATAATTGATGCAATATAGGATCCTATTTGCACAATCAGGGGGATTCATCTATAATTTCTTAGTCATAAAGGCTAACATCATTTGGCGAAGGTATGAGATCGTGGAACTCTAGTTTTATAGTACATTCGTGGGGTCGTTTGGCGTAGCGGCAGCGTGCTCGACTCGGAACCAAGAGGTCCCGGTTTCGAGTCCTGATATGCCACCGATCTTATGCCATTGGGAAAGGCCCATTACATGACTTTCCTGAGTATTGTCTTGTCCTGTATTCGTCCTCTGCGTTGGTGCGGAATAAAATAAGTTGATATAACTTGAGTGTGCTGTCACCATGTCTATAGTCATGAGATGTTGGGCTAAAAAATCCCTTCTGACCTTGCTAGGCGCTGGACCTCACCCAGAATCGTCTCACGGCAGTCCGGAGGGACGATTTTGCCAGGCTAACAAAGTTGAAGTATCTTCATCTATATGTGAGTCAAATCCATCAGCACATTTCAACAAATTCATATTTTCCTTTCAGAGAACAATCATCAGAGAAATTGAATACATTACAAGTTACTTTTCAATTGGATTCTTATGATGTTGCTTTCTTTGTCGTCAGCTGTTTTCCGTATCCATTTAAAGGCAATTTACCACTAACTTCACAGTGTTTTGAATTAGCATGCGATGTAAATCAAAACTTTGCCGTAAACCAAATATTTTGTTGATTTTGTCCAAAAATATCTTGTATCTTACACCCGTATAGAGTAACAGTATCACAAGTGTGGAGGACGGTTCGTTCGCCAATCTTGCCGACCTTCTCGCCTTAGAAATATACGGGAACAGTCTCACTAATGTCTCAGCCGCAACATTTGAAGGTAAACAGTATGCGATAGGAAAACCAGCAACATTTGCCCTCAATAACAAGTATGTGTTTTTTTATACTTTGAATCTCCCCCAATCCTGAAAATTGCTCAGCCGTACCGTCACGTACCCATCTGAGACTGGCACGGGCCCACTGAAGTGGTAAAATTGCCCGACCTTGTTCTGTTGCTGCTAGAGTGTATGGCATGACCTGGAAAGGTCAACTCGTTAACGTTGTTGACATGTTTGCGACGACGTGGTAAAACCAGTTGCCTGATGTCTGACAGACAAACTTTGACCTGACGGCACGACGTGTTTCTGTCCCAGGTTTGACTTAGACTGTTTTTACCACTGTCGTCGGATTAAAGTCTGTCTCATGTACACCAGTTAGTCTGTTGTACATGTGACGTTACCTTATCTTAGGTGTACAGGCTCACCGCCGTAGTGTTGCAAAAAGTTTATATCTTCAATGGACTTGGATTTTATCATAATTTTTTGACAACGCTTTCCGTAAGGTGTTGATTTGAAGTTTCGTCCGTTTCTAAAAAAAGGTTTTCACCACACTGTTCCCAGAGGATGTCATCCATATAATCAAATCAACATGGCCTAAGCTTAAGATGTAATGTGATCATATTTTACGACCGGGTCATATTAGGGGGTACTGAACATGTGATCTACTGTCTATAGGTTGATTGATTGCAAACGATAAATTATGTCTTTCTGTTGGACATGACGATATGACGATATGAGCTAATGGTAGGAGAGGAATACCGGGCCCCGGGTTTGAAAGAAAACAACACAGATTGCGACGTATAGGATGTATTTTTCCCTACAGGCCTAGTATCTGTGGAACAGATATTGATAGGAGGTAACCCTATCAAAAGCTACCCCGATGACACGTTCTGGCATCTTCCGAAGCTCAGTCAGTTGGGCCTAATCGGCAACCCACTCGTGAACATCAGTGACGTTTTGCTGTCGCGCCTTCAAGGCTTGAAAAATGTAAGGAAACCAGTTGTGATCGCGTCGATTTGTTTTTGTCGGAGCTTATATACAATCATAGAAAATTAATTCTGTTTACAGTAATACCATAGTTTTCCGCTGAGAAATACTATGATGAAGACAAGAAACCGAAATGTTCTCGGGAGATATGTATTAAACGTAGGCAACTTATCGTGTTAACATTGGCCACGAGTGATTTGTCATTTTTACGTATGATGGACCCAATCCGATGATTTGGAAAAAAAACATCCCCCCCCCCAAAAAAAAAGGAAACGCCGACCGCTCCCGAAACGCCTGAAAAGGAGGCTATTGAATGATATCCGTCTCTAAAATGAAAAGAGTGATGGATGCTATTCGAAACGCTGGAAAGTCATCTTCGTTTATATGTAGTAGAGTTTGAATTGCCTACATGTATCGTTTACCTAGATCGATGTCTGACCTACATCAAATGTATGAACCAATTTTGTATATGCATGAATGTGAAGATAAACGGCGTGTCCTGATCTGCCTCCTTCCCAGCTTGCCATAGCCGACACCGGCCTGACGTCTGTGCCTGCACTGCCGGCTTCCCTGGAGTCCCTGGTGATGTTTCGCAACCAGTTGACGGAAATCCGCCCGGGAGACTTCACAACGCTTCCCCGGTCAGGTAAAGCAACTGTTCTGTCCAACTGAACAATTAGAAATTTCACTTGGCGTCAATAAGCTGCGTTCCAATTCCGATCCAGTTCTATAAGACCATATTACGAGAATCTATCTTTGGCGACGCGCCATTATAGAACGACTCATGCGACGCCTCTCCACGGAAAATATATCTCGGTACTCATTTTAAATTGGCAGTGACATGACTTGATATGTTTCGGCTCTGCTTGTATCCATCTTCAGGGACAGGAGACCACCTTCCACTCCCCAACCTAACCAGCTTAAACCTGGCGACTAACATACGTCTTCAGAAGATCCACCCGTTTGCTTTCGCAACCTTACCTGCACTGAAATCTCTATTTCTGTCCAGGTATAGTTCATTCAATACTAAGTGGTGGTATAGTATAACGAGCTTATTGTTATGTGAAAGAAAGCCTAGTAATCAGGCTTTGTTATGACATGACAATCAAGAGTTAGGTTCCATTCACACTCAGCTGAGATGTATATGGTTTAATGTAGGGCATGTGGTCTTGTTTTTACTAGAAAACCAAACATGCTTCGTATTATGTTGTAAACGGAGAACAGAAAAAGAACAATAGGTTTTTCTTCTATGTTTTCTTTTGCAGCAATAATTTTCAAACCATTTCGTCAATCGATCCAGATGGATTCGGCGGCTTGACGAATTTGCAAAATTTGAACATTGACGGAGTAAGGTCCTGTACCCCGCGTATGTATCTGTTACCATGTGACAGGTTCTCTTTACTTTTACCTTCGGGTAACAAGGTATTGTTCAGGTGTGCTTGTGTCTGCTTATGTGGCAGGAAGTTTTTTTGCTTGGGAGATCTGGTTACCGCAGATTGACCCATAGGTCAAGTTGGAGTTAAGTCCCAGGGGTAAACAGAGATGTTTACAATAATTATTAAAGCAATTGCAAGAAATCCATAGTCAACTAGAATTCCGAGATCTCATACCTCCATGAAATATGATCTTGATATGTAAATGTAAATTTCTTCTTTAATTGTGCAAATGACCTCTGCATTAACATGATATAAGCATCGTGATGTATGTTAACTTTTGATTAACTTACAGATGTCCCAAGTATGACATTCTCATCATTCACCATTACGAAATCATAGAATTTTCGAATTAATTATGCAAATTAGGTCATCATTTGCATAATTAGTATCTGTTGAAGTTCCACCTGCCATAGGTTACATACATTACATGTATGTAAGTAGTATAATGTAAAACACTGTAATTATAGAATTTCCTCATTAATTATGCAAATTAAGTCCTCATTTGCATAATTTGCATTTAATTATGTACATCTCTCTCTCAGCTACCTACACACCAAAAAAAATGAAAATATGTTGTTCCTGTCTGGACTTTTCGAATTAATTATGCAAATTAGGTCATCATTTGCATAATTAGTATCTGTTGAACTTCCGCCTGCCATAGGTTACATACATTACATGTATGTAAGTAGTATAATGTAAAACACTGTAATTATAGAATGTCCTCATTAATTATGCAAATTAAGTCCTCATTTGCATAATTTGCATTTAATTATGTACATCTGTCTCTCAGCTACCTACACACCAAAAATAATGAAAATAGGTTGTTCCTGTCTGGACTTATTGGCTTTTAAACATTTCGCCAGAAAGTGCCCTGCAGTTCCAGAACAAGCCGCTGGGGGGCCCAAACTCATATGACTTCTTCCCAAGCACGAGAGCTACCTTCCATCAAAATTTCATGACCCTAGCATGTCCAGATCGCGAGATATCAAAACCGGAAGTTGCGCTGCAGTACCAAGGGAAGCCACTAGGGGGACCAAAATCTAATCATTTCCACACACCAAGTATGAAACCAATCCATCCAGGCGTTCTTGAGTTATCTTGTTGACCAACAGACGGACGGACAGACGGACAGACGGACGGACAGATAAACGCAACTGAAAATATAACCTCCATGACACATTTCATGGAGGTAATGATTTGACATAAGCGATACCTGTACACAAACATGGTTCTTAAGTGGCAAATTGTGCTTTGGTCACAGGTGTATTTAGGCATCTCCCTTGCCTCCAAACGGTAACCTTGGGAGAAAGGTTAACCTGCGATTGTGACTTGCTCGATCTCGTGAAATGGATAAACAAAACAGGTACGTTTTCTCCTCTGTTCCTCTGTAGTGATATATAAGACCTAAGAATTAGAATATCTGGGAAAAAAAATTCTCTTCACTTCGTAAGTGCAGTTCATAATACTTTTTATAGGTGTCGTTTTGAATACAGATGGTTGATACTATGGGGGAAGTTTAAGCTGTAATTTCCAACACAAAGAACTTGTCTTAACCAAATTTTCGACTGTAAAACTCCAGTCTTTGTCATTAGGAATGAGCAATCCACCGCCTCCTCGACGTCACGTCATAGATGACACACGTAACTCGGTAGCAACATGAGATGGTGGATATAGTTTTAACCCTATAATATTAGACGTCTGGAGCGCAAAAACTTGCATTCTATGTATCTGCCAATGTTTTTGCAGTCGTGAACGTCAGACCAACTCCACCAACCTGCTTCCTCCCAAGGAGGTTGAGGGAACGTTCTCTGGAAAACCTACGCGAAGAGGACTTACAGGTGACGTGTCCAGCGACAAGTGTCCCAGCGACACCAGAACCTACGGCGCAGACCTGGTACATGTGACACAATTATAGCCTCCTTCGCAGACTTGTGATACGGCGGCATTAATATTTTTTTTCGGGGAGCGACGCGAGTTATGCAGCGGAGGGACGGTTTTGCCGCCTAGGGAGTTTGCCGGGGAGAGTTTTCACTGCGGTGAAAAAGTCACTTCCGACAAACTCCATAGGCTAACACAACTCACACAAATTACATGTATGTCTTTCCGATAAAGCTCAAAATCATCTACAGAATTTGCCTAAGTGTTCAAAATAGGAGCTGGCCTGCTGCTGTTCGTTACGGCTATTACGGCTTGGCAGTACTAGTACTGTCCCTCATTTCAGCATCAGTGTCATTCAAAGTAACGATATCTATAGATAAACCACCACCCTTTCCTCTTGACTAAATCGCGCTCCAATATAGTAACATAGTACCACGGTAAAGATAACCATTTAGTTCCTCAAGCTAAGTAGCCATCGCCTTCTCACCTAATGATGATGGCGTATGACCTAGAATGAACTAAACATCGACATTGGAATGATTATGGCATGTTGATTGTATGCTTTCAACTTCATGTGTCTGTGCTGTTCTATATTCTTACAGCCCGACACCATCTCCGCCACATGCAACCATGACAACTCCTTCCCAAGGCGGCTCTCTCTCCTTAGCAACTCACAAGTCGTCAAAACCACCTATGTCATCCTCTACAACAGGACAAACAGTACCTGTCATGTGCGAAACATGTACTAGCCCAACAAACGTCATAGTACAGAACGTAAAAGACTCTCTTGCTGAGGTAAAATGGGCACACGGTGGTAGCAAGGATCTGACAGGATTCGTTATTCAGTACAAAATCCTTACAGAAGAGAACTCGTTGAAGGAAACAGAACTGGTTCACTCGACACGCCGATCCTATCCCATATGGGGCCTTCTCTCTGACACGCCCTACTTAGCCTGCGTGGCTGTCTCCTGTAAGAACAAGGTTAGGCAACCAGTAGTAGATGACTGTGTGTACTTCGCAACGGGAAAGACTGCAGTGTCTGTCCCACAAGAAGCAGTCGTGGGCTTGGCCGTCGGAGTGCCCCTGTTACTACTCATCCTCGTGATGGCGGCCGTCATCGTTTTCCTGAAGAGGAAAGGACGCTCCACTGCCGAACACGTGGATGAACGCAGGCTTGGTCAACGTCAAAAACAGGTATTTTTATTTGTTGTCCTTTCATTACATTAATAGGGATAGTGTAACGACGGCTTTAGTTTTGATCTCTTATATGTGCACATTGTTGTCCTGGGCTTGAACCATGTACAGCGGGCCGATTTATTTTTTTTTACTTTACAGGAAGCATCTATCGGTTTGGCTGAAGTCCACGGTGATATCACAGACGACCCTCCATACAACAGTATCAACGAAGACCTGGATAAAGGTCATCAGGAAAACCCGTACCAGAACCCAGACTTCCTGACTGAACCGGGGGAGGCCGGCACAATCACTAACCCCTACATAGACTTTCCTATGAAGTAGCTTATATATGTAAAACGTTAAACTTTATTCCAACACACTATTTACAGGGATCAAATTTTCAGCAGAAATAGTGTGTTGGAATAAAGTTTAACGTTTTACTATGATTACTACCAACACAGATGAACTTTCATGATAGCTTATATATGGTATTACTCAGTCCAGATCTTAACAGCAATATATACGACTAAATAAAGGATGTAAATTCAATCTCCTCTGAAAGGTCTTTGGAAAAACAATATATTTCACCCGTACTATGTATAATAATATAAATATTTCCATTCATGTGCAAAAATCAACATTGGTGCATTATTATGTAAAGATTAACATTATCTACAACTTTTGTCAACATTTATGTCATCGCTTGTTGTTGTTGCTAGTCATCCTCGTCAGAGGTGAAGCATAAGATTACTAGTAATATTATGCTTTTTCTATAGCGTATGTTGCGCAATGCGGCCTCGCTACGGCTTGCACATATATCGGGGTGATGATGTTAAAAATGCTTTCTATTAAAATGTTGGTTAGATCAAAATCTCAAATTCCATCATACATAATCAAAATAGGTTTATGGACCTTCATCAATGACGTCGACGTTCTTTGGAAACAATTGAATTCATTGGATAAGTACATGTTTCATTGGATACGCTTTATACATGTACATGTAGTACATTGTGGTTTTACTGGCCTATTTTGTTGATGGCACCTTTTTTTTAAGAAAGTCCTGAATTTATAAAAGTATACATTCATTTACAAATTTTAATTGAAATGTGACATCGTGTATTATGGTACAAACCATTTATTTGTTATAAACATAACCGCACGTATACTAATACTCTGGCTAATACTAATGGAGTGGTTTAAAAAATCTACTAATACTAACGGTGTGCAATGGTTTAAAACGTCTTTTGTTTCCATCTATGCGTTAGAATGTGTACTTTACTATACATTACAAAATAAACAGAGATATATGACATGGGAAGCGAGTCCAGTTATATTCTGTCATGATCGCGAAATTCAATTCATACCAGACTCAGGTGACGTTGAATGCATGCTATGGTACTACAAATGTATCAGCGGCAAGACGCGATGAAGTCTACCAAAGGAAACGTTCATGTGGTATTAAGGTGAAATATCCTCAACAGTCAAAAGGTCAGGGTCTCCTTTTCTTTTGGCTCAAATTGCTGACAGCGCCCAAGGGCTTTGACTTGCGTACGCGGCTTGTATTCATCAAGTGAAAGAAGTAATGTTGACTGTTCGTGCCCGCCAATTTCTGACAGTGACATAGACATTTTTCTTTGCACAAGAAAATATGCAAACAATCCAGTGCTGTTTGGATGGGGATGTTGGATACCGTCGGCAATACTAAAAGTAGAGTTTCTTACTCGTCACTATCAATAGAATGTGATCGTTTTTTTTTCAATGATGATTTGCCGTTTTCCTTACGGGGGGCCAAAATGAACTCTTTAATAATTCGTTTGAAGTAACCACCCTGCATCCTTCATAGTACACCCCTAACAATGCTTTATCACGTCTGTTCTGGAACAATGTAAGGCGCGAAGCCCTGACGACCACAATCGAACACCTTGGTAACGCCACCAGACCACTGCAACCTCCGAGACGAACGGACGTGCGCGCCGCTTCTCTGCCAAATACTTGCTTCCCGTTTTGACCAGCGCTCGCGTTAGAGCCACACACTCCGGGAAAGTGTTCATTAATCTTGCCTGCACTCTGAGCTGAAATAATGGCGCCGTAAACACCGAGGCTAAAAAGTTAGGAGCAGCTGAATCATCAGAGAACATCTGGAGAATTCACCTGACGACATCCTGCAGCACCACTAATCTCCGCTAGAGGGCGTTCCGCGCTCACCCCAAAGTCTCCTGGGAAATCTGAGCTCCACATTCCATTTCTACACTGCAGTCGCACCGAGCAAGATGGGTTAGACTCAAGTCACGACTCCGCCGGTCCTGAGTGCCTTCAGGGGCACTTGGGGGCCAAAAGACTCTGTCATAGAGAAGAACTTGTTTTTCCTTGTTAATCACGAACTTTATGAACAATATTCTTCGTTGTGACCAGTTTTAATACGTCGACTCTACACGTGTTAAAGAATCAAACATTCAAGGTAAGAGTGCATAAAGTTTGTTGTGATATGAAGTTTCTGGAAGTGGAAGGGTTTTAAGGGTAGAATTCATGACTTGAGCCGTGTGTTAACTGTCTGATCGTATCAAGTGGCCGGCTGTGGTACTGGTGTGTTTTGTTCATGGTTCTCAGATCCTCTCTCAGGTCCTGAGGCGACAACTGGATTGACCAGGACGTGTTTCAGCGGTTTTACAGCCCCCCTCCCCAAACATATCGAGAAACGATGGGCACAATTCATGACTTGGGACAGCATGTTTAACTGTCTGACTTTATCAGGTCCAGTGGCCGGCTGTGGCGCTTTGTTCATGGTTCTGGTCCGGAAGCGACAGCTTGGCCAGGACGTGTGTTTCAGCGGTTTGATAGCCGCCCTCCCCACTCGTGTTCTGTTGAATTAATGTGCTATATAAAGTAGATCTTCATGCGTGGTAACATTATGCATGATACCATACACCAATGCTGTTACTTGACATGGCATGAAATGAACAATCTTGACATGGAATGAAATGACCAATCTTTATAAAATAAGGTGTATAAAAGTGCAATTCAATTTTTCAGATGTTGCGCTAAATTGATCGGTAACCTCTCCACGTAGGTTCCAAACCCTGTGATCAGTGTGCGAACACTAGGGAGGAAACAGTTGACCTGCATGTTGCATGTAACATTATTTTTAGCAGCCCGTCCCTCCAGCCTCCTCAGCCATTTTTGACATTTATTTCCTTTCCATCTTTCAGTGGTTAATCAACAAAAATCAACATGAGCAACTCTAAGTCTAAGAAGGAAAGCTATGCTCTGCGCCAGCAGAAATACAGTAACGCTATCATCCGGGGCCGTCGACACGTCCCCACCCCTGAAGCCGTCCCACCGTCCTCTCTCCTGGACGCCCCCCCACTGTCTCCTGTACCACTGCCTTCACCCCCCAGGGAGCGTATACCTGAGTGGGACGACCCGCCAAGACTGGTCACCAACCTAAACAGGAAACAACCAGCTCCTCAGGGTGGATTCACGGCAGCTAACAGGTAATTATTAAGTTTAATGTACACCTGTCCTGTGGTAAGGGTTTTTTCATGGCAGAATCTGTTCTTCAGTAAAGAGTAAAGATCTTTTAATAATACCGGTAGTAAAGTCTTTTAGTAATAAGTCTTTGTTTTTCTCGACACAGGTATGCCAAGACTCCCACACACCCGGATGAAAATGCCAAGGTGTTTGAAGAGTATGCAGAAAGGATGAATGATATCCAACAAAAGCAGAACAACATGGGAGAGGGCAAGCGACCGAGGAAACCCTCCAGACGTCCGCAGACCCCAGCTCTTGTCTCCATGATGATGGGCTCTAGGAATGATGAGAACATGACAGAAATGGATTGCTACATGGCAACGATGGATTCCAAGAAGAAGGCACGCGAGCCCATGGGAGCTGACAAAACACGGGCCAGAACAGCCCACAAGCACGCTGCAAAAGCTCCCACATTGAAGTCTGTGGAAGAGCAACAGGTATTCTCACTCGGACGTTATGAGGAGAGAGTCCCAACAAAAGCAGTGCTCAACGACTGGATGGATCATCTCAAAGAGGAGTTCAACTCTACCGACCCTGTTGGAGCTCCCACCCCCACGATGGACAAGCAGGCAGACTGCGGAGCAGCTGTGGTGGAGCAGGTGATGGAAGCAAACACAAACCACGAGGCTAAGAAGAAGAAAAAGAAGAACAAGAAGAAGCAGAAAACTCGTGTGGAGACACCACCCGACTACACGGCAAATGTCGGGCTCGACAACGTGAGCCTGACGTCACTTGAAGCACGTGACCTTGACTGGCAGGATGAAGGTCGAGTACGGAGCTGTTACAAGACGTCCCCACAGCCTGGACACCTGAGCAGGGAGGCTGACACACCCACCATCCAGGACAAGACAAAGGACTGGATGTACTTCATCAGGAAAGCTGGGCTTGAGGAGATGATGGAGTCAGACCCTACCAGGGACGAGGACAGGAGGACACCGGTCCAGGGCAAAACCACCAAGAACAAGCACAAGGCAAAGAAGGAGAGGCTTGTCCTACCCAGCCTGACTTCAGATCCAGGACTGATGCTGCAGGGAACCAAACTTCACACACCTGGTGAGTTTTGTAGTGTAGGCACCAAACTTCACACACCTGGTGAGTTTTGTAGTGTAGGAACCAAACTTCACACACCTGGTGAGTTTTGTAGTGTAGGAACCAAACTTCACACACCTGGTGAGTTTTGTAGTGTAGGAACCAGACTTCACACACCTGGTGAGTTTTGTAGTGTAGGAACCAAACTTCACACACCTGGTGAGTTTTCTAATGTAGGAACCAGACTTCACACACCTGGTGAGTTTTGTAGTGTAGGAACCAAACTTCACACACCTGGTGAGTTTTGTAGTGTAGGAACCAAACTTTACACACCTGGTGAGTTTTGTAGTGTAGGAACCAAACTTCAAACTCCAGGTGAGTTTTGTAGCATAGGTTTACCCACTGCTGCCCAACTTATTTCTATTTGACAATGTTGCTGCACACATAATGCCTGTACACACAAGAGTAGTATGCAGATGGCTAATCTAGTATATTGCACATTGCACACCAATGACTTAATCTTCCATTTGTCATGTTTTATCCAGGTGTGAGCCTCCCCTCCATAGGAGATGGTGTTCTCTCCACTGCTGCCAGACCCAACATCCCTGATGAGGACATGGGAACACAGTTGCCACCGGTGAGTCTTGTATTTACAGTCTGTGAATTCTGCACAGTAACTGCTGTAACCACTGTACTGTGTAAGGGTCTTGGGTTCTTGTATCATGACCAAGGGAGTACAAGTAGAGTGATTAGGTAGTGTAACATATCCTTCCCAGAGACAGAAT